CATATATATATAAAACATCAAAGATGTTTTTGCGATGACCCTTAAAGAACCAACACCAGCTTGAAACCCAGTAAAGGAGGTCTTTACCAGCCAGCTCTGCGGTACTGAGCTGGTATTTTACCTAGCTCCAGCACCCCTTTAAGGCAGTCATGGGAGGAAATYTTGAGCCCCACTGAAGCTTTTTAATATTCAGGATCCATACCTTGGCCTTCTCCCACCCCCTGAACACGAACTGGGATACAWCTGATCTAGACCACAGAGCTTCCCTTCACTTTTCCTGGGATGATAGAGGAATGTTGAGACTAATAAGACCACTTTAAAGACTGTAAAGGAACATGCACCTTCTGCCTCACAAACACTGCGAAGACGACAACCAYACACATTCAGTGACGAAGGTTTAGGAAGCACTCATGCAGCCGGTGTGCAGCCACACGCAAAAGAGGTGAAAAAAACMTTGCTTTTCAGGTGACTGAATTAAATATAGCTGGGCTTTAGGGCGCGTAGCGTTAACATTAAAGTCAAACTTTTACAGCCCTGTGCCAAAGCCTGGTTTTAATAAAGTTCTAAAAAAAATCTTGAAGCTAGAATTTTAAAAAATGTTGAGAAAAATAAAAGAAAATCTGCTCTAACAATCCGGTGGATTTCTGATGTTTTAAATTGTAAGTTTGGGGTCATTGTTGCAGAAGCAGGCAAGCTGTTCCCCAGATGAGCTCCCCCTTTGTAGAAAACCTCCCCCCACTCTGTGGTGCATCTCCACATCGCTATGCAAATGCCCTGTAATGATCTGAGGCGTGCTGGGATGAAAGAAGCAGAAAAGAAACTTCTCTGTGAGGCTTTGTGGTGCTTTCTGTTGTTGTTGCTATAGTAACAAAGACCTGGCAGTCAATTTGACGCTGCAGCACTTATTTGCATGGCAGGACTTAGGTGCTATTCTTTTTWATATTTCCTTATAATATAAAGAATCTTGTAAACAGGTTGGACTTCTCTGCTTTCAACAGTTGAATGGATAAACACAGGCGCCGCCACACAAAATCTGGTGTAGACGGCAACTTGAGCAGTTCTGCTTGTTTAATTTTATCATCTATCCCTCCACACACACACACACACACACACACACACACACACACACACACACACACACACACACACACACACA